GAGAAGAAGAGCGGCACAGGCTCCAGCTTCTCCTTGGATCCCTGCTGCTTTGTATGGACAAAGGACTCTATGTTCTCAATCTCTTTTTCTATTTCAAAAGGGAAATGTCAGACCCCTAAAATTTGCCCCGAAGCCACCCCCCCCCACAACATCCTGGAGCCTGGGAGCATTATGCACACGCAGTGATGGGTGACATAACACGCCTGTTGAGGGGCATCGTTTTCTCTTCTTGCTTCGGGCGCAAAAGGAGCTAGCTACGGCTCTGGACCCACTGAACACAGGGTCGTGACCCACTGAACACAGGGTCGTGACCCACTGAACACAGGGTCGTGACCCACTTTTGAGAAACAAGGCTTTATACCACTAGCTCATGCCCATTTAGCTATTTATTATGCATCTTCCTCCATCCCATACCATCAGCTGCTACCTCTGATTCTAAACGTCTGACACAACTTCTGCAGGGTTTAGAATGCTGTCCGTGTCCTAATTAGGTAGAATTCGTCTCTTTTTTTATTTTTATTTGAGAGACATTAATTTCTAAACCCAGCTCATAATAGTCATCTTGTACCTATGCAGGGTACACCAACAGGTATAGGGAAGCATGTTCCTCACTTCATTCCACAATGCAGTGCTGGGTGCCTGAATGGCTGGCTGCCAGGTCTGAGCACTGTCACATGGGAGTGGGTCGAGAGCCCTTAGCCCTGCATAACTTACCTAGGTGAAGGAAGGTTGCATTGTAGAGCATGCTAGGTTCTTCTAAGCCATTGATACAACTATTGTAGGGTTTGGAATGTTGTCTGTGTCCTCATTAGGTAGATTTCTTCTATTTTTTTTTATTAGAGAGACATCAAATCCATAGGAAATAAGGAGAAGTCTCTTAAATGGGGACAACACAGCAATAAAAAAAAATCATTATTGGGGGGCACCCACTTCATCTATACCTGAAAAAATGTTGGTTGGAGTTAGTCTTTAAGCCCCTAATAGGGTCAAACAATAAATTGTTCTGAAGAAATGACTGGTGTGTGACTGAATTTCCTCTTTTTTCGTTGAGATTGGTGGGCTTAAAAAGCCATGCGGTATTGTAAGAGGTTAAAGAGATTTGTAGCCTCAGCAATTCAGCAATCGCTATATACATGTTTTTAATGAAGTGTGTTCTTTCGAGGACCTTGGATGAAACAAAAGAAAAGATTACACTGCAGAAACTGCGTAGGATGGCATAAGACGCTTTGCACAAATCAACGCTTCGAAGCTTGCTTGACCAGGATATATGACGCGAAGAGGGCACCCAGCCAGAAGTGAATCATCATAAACAACTATAAAAGATTTATGCACCTTAGGATTTAGGAGAGACTCATACTGACGGGAGGGGGGACAAGCTCAACTCCATGCATCGTCTGTATTGATCTCCCATGCGCATGTAAATAAAGCAGAGTGAAGATTTTTTATACAACAATCTCTGAGTTCTTGAAGGTTCTTTTTAAACATAATAGAGCAATCTATTATTCCTTCTACAACGTGGTGCCGGAATTCCTGGGAAACTCCAGCAGGAGAGGAAAGGAAATGGGAACTCGGGAAAGGAATCCAAATCTCAACGGACATCCACCAAAGACCCCCGAAACATGAAAATATGATATCAAAAATCATATTCTACATTGGCGAGCCTAAGCCTGATTCGAGTTTATCGGCGATTTTTATGTTTTATTTGCTCCCTCATCTTGATGAGAGTGAATGACATCGAACGAACCTACGATTCACCGGTGGAAAGGAATTCGCGTGCGAAACTGCTACCTTCCAATGGTAACAGATGAAGCAGAGACTATACATTGTACAGAGTCAGATAGATTAAAGAAGCTGATAATGTTTTCATCAGGATAAGAAATCCAAACAGTTGATATGTTAAATTGCTTAAAACCCTCTAGTAATGATGATCCATTTACTTTTATGAAGAAGTTTGAGCAGTCATATAGAATGATCATGGGAATTTCTCAAGAGGATAATCCAGCAGCCATGATAAAAGTTTTTGTAAAAAAGTTTACATTTTTGGATCCAACTTCTCTTGCAGTAGCTGCAGAGAAAGAGACATTAGAAGACGCGGCAATTTTACTAGACAAAATAATTAGGCAAATTAAATCTAGTACTTCATAATGCAGTGTAGATGTTTTCCAAGATGGAGACCAGAGAAAGGAGGTTTGTGTAGCCACAGCCACAAGTGGTGAAAGACACGTCAGCACTAGATTTTCAGAGCAGGGTGGAGCTGTAATTTGCTTCTATTGTGGAAAGCCCGGTCATTTGAAGAGACAATGTTGGAATTATCAAAGAGATTCACAGATTAAAATCTGGGAAACAGAAAATGAAACACCAACTTCTGTTCAACAATATTCAACAGATGATAGTACAGGAGTATATTTTGCTCCTGTTGACAAGCAGATCTTTAAGCTCACTGTTAGTGATAAAGGCTTGCAATGGTGTCATTGAGAGAGAAGGTTTATTAGCCTCACCATGTCTAGATCGAGATTTAAACGCTCTTCCTTTAGAATATGTTAGTTCTATCCTTTTGGATAAGAGTGGAAAACAGCACATACAAGGATTACTAGGCGGTAGAAAAGTAAAATGTTTGATGGACTCTGGAGCTCAATTGAGTGTTACAAGTCTAAAATTAACCTTTAAAACCCAATGCATCTGAATGTAAAATTGTAGGCTTGTAATGGCAGAGGTAATTCCACTGCTAAACTGATTTCTGATGCGACTTTTGAAATACCTGGATTATTAAAAACTGACATTGATATCTGGTATTGTCATGGTGCAGAGAATATTCTGGGTATAGATGTGATTAGTAAACAGAATTGGGTTATTGATTTAGGAAATGGAATTATTTGGAAAGATCCATCTAGGTCCAGGTCCAGTGTTAATTGATCCTTTTGTGTACAGTAATGTTGGAAGTGTACGTACAACATCTACTAAAGTTTCTTTGGAACAAAAGTGGCCTGGTACTGACCATGATATTGCCTTAACACAAGTGGTTCATGAATTTCCTGGTTTGTGGTCAAAGTTCCCAAATGAAGTAGGAACAATGAAAGATACACAATTGAACAATGAATGTAGAGACCCCAGTCCTCAGAAGCAATACCAAGTGCCAGAAGATTCGGTTGGTCCAGTTACAGCCATTATTCAGGAATTTCTCCAGCAGGGTGTGCTAAGGAAAGCAAACTCAGTTGTAAACAACTAATGTACTCTTGGAGTAAAAAGGGTTAAAGCTCATTACAATGCTACCATTGTAGGTAACAGGAACATCTGTTGTCAATTAAGAGAGATAGAGTATTCTTTTTTGCTGAAATACATTCAAATTCCTATTTAGGATGAGTTTGATATTGTAAAATATATTTCTAGAACAATGTGATATATAAGTGAATGAACCTGAATTAAGAAAAGTCATATTTGAACTTTAGCGGGGTTTATTAAAATGGAATTGAGTATAATAGGTTTTATGATAAATGCCTTTTTAGACTTAGATACATTCATGGAGTTAAAATTTGAAACATATACAGTGACATACACAAATCAAAGTGCGCTATATATTCATTAATAGTTCATTGAAATAATTTAATATCTGGTAAAGAATAAGATAGGTAAATATTTTAAGGAAAAAGTCTTATCAAGCTTATAATTCTTAATACTGGATCAAGGTTAATATAAGCAAATCAATCATCTTATGTTCCTTGGAATATATGTGATACGCTTGTGACACGCCTGATATATGAATGGATTAAGATTTAGAAAAATGATTTGCAATCATTTTGAGAGGGAATATGTTAAAAGGGTATTATTCATATGGGGATTATGTATGCATGTGATGAACATAAGTGATGATTGGTTTTTCTATATACATTTGTTCAGTTAAGGACTTAAGCTGACTTATAAAAGTCCATGGTTTTAGTTTTCAAGAAAGTGGTATTAGGGTTAAGGTGCACATATGGTACTCATCAATTATGCCTTCTGGTTAGAACCTCCCACATTCCTTATTATCAAGAAAGACTGTGAGGGATTCTCAATCAAAGTTTATGAAGTGTTTACAAAGTATGTATTATATCTCTTTACTGTAATATGTCTTGATTAAGTTATTCATATAAGAAAGAACACTGAATTATGTGTAGATATTGGTACTTGTAACATTATATGGTTTATTTGAATGCATTATAGTTTGCATTCAACACATGAATCCTCCATCCCCATATCCCCCTAAAAAACCTTATTGTTTGTCTAAGTTTCAGATTACACTTAAGGCTATATGGCACACAGACACAGACATGAGGGACAGAGATGCTAACACTTTAAACACTTACAAGAACTTATTTATACATCTACATATTTCTATATTTTGTTTTATGCTATTAATCTTGTAATCATTTGTAACTATAGGTTTTATGATAAATGCCTTTTTAGACTTAGATACATTCATGGAGTTAAAATTTGAAACATATACAGTGACATACACAAATCAAAGTGCGCTATATATTCATTAATAGTTCATTGAAATAATTTAATATCTGGTAAAGAATAAGATAGGTAAATATTTTAAGGAAAAAGTCTTATCAAGCTTATAATTCTTAATACTGGATCAAGGTTAATATAAGCAAATCAATCATCTTATGTTCCTTGGAATATATGTGATACGCTTGTGACACGCCTGATATATGAATGGATTAAGATTTAGAAAAATGATTTGCAATCATTTTGAGAGGGAATATGTTAAAAGGGTATTATTCATATGGGGATTATGTATGCATGTGATGAACATAAGTGATGATTGGTTTTTCTATATACATTTGTTCAGTTAAGGACTTAAGCTGACTTATAAAAGTCCATGGTTTTAGTTTTCAAGAAAGTGGTATTAGGGTTAAGGTGCACATATGGTACTCATCAATTATGCCTTCTGGTTAGAACCTCCCACATTCCTTATTATCAAGAAAGACTGTGAGGGATTCTCAATCAAAGTTTATGAAGTGTTTACAAAGTATGTATTATATCTCTTTACTGTAATATGTCTTGATTAAGTTATTCATATAAGAAAGAACACTGAATTATGTATAGATATTGGTACTTGTAACATTATATGGTTTATTTGAATGCATTATAGTTTGCATTCAACACATGAATCCTCTATTCCCATTTCCCCCTAAAAAACCTTATTGTTTGTCTAAGTTTCAGATTACACTTAAGGCTATATGGCCAGAGAGGGGGGGGACTGGAGCACAAAGGACACTCACACACACACGCGACCAGCAGGACACACAGACACAGACATGAGGGACAGAGATGCTAACACTTTTATGCTTTGTCTATTATGCTTTGAACTTTCACACTTCCTTACACAAAGACACATGGGTCACTGAATGTCCCAAATGTCATCTCTCGCAACTTAATCTGATACACCTCCTTTGGCAGTGTCCACACATCCAAGCTTTCTGGCAACTAATGTTCCAGTATATCTTGACAATCTCTGGGATATCCAGAGATTGCTCACTAGCTCTGTGTCTTTTTCATTCCCCTTCTGCCTCATCACAGTAATCACGGACGCCATTGACACAATGGGAACATTATTGCATCTTAGCTGTCAAGAAGATGATCCTCAAACATTGGCTCTCTCCACATACTCCTACGTTGATGGAGATAAAACAAGTTCTCCATCAGCTTATGTTGATTCATAAGTTAGACACTCGACACAACCTGGAACGAACCGAAAAATTATTTCATACTTGGTCACATTTTTTGACTTCTGAATGCACACATGATCGACTTAAAGATATTATGCCTATATTCCAACGTTCCAAGTGGTATCTTCAGGCTAAACCAACCAACTCGTTGGGTAAACTCGACGTACTGGGTTAAGATCCGCTCAAATTCCAGTATCTCAGCGTCCAGTGTCAAAGTCAAATACCTTACTCATTCACCACATCTAATAATGAGGATCTTACTTCCTCGCAGTCTGTCTCAATCAATCACTCCTCTATTATGAAGTCCTTCACACACCTCCTTTTCACCATAGTCCCGTCCCTGCCCTACCTGGTCCTGATCCGTCTCACACATTAATTTCACCCTTGTCAGTTGTATGATTCAGAAGACCTGATGCAAATGTAAACTGATGTCTTCATTTCAAGAGTATCAACATACGGTTTCCAAGGCTAATTTACATAATTTGCTACATGTTATTCTCTACTACTGACACAGGTCTGCATTTTTGTTCTGCTGTTACGTCTTGTTCTTTTAAGTAGTATATGTTGATATAAGATATATGCGGACTCCTTCTGTTTGGAGTCCTGGCTTTTATCCTTTATTGCTATACATTTTGAATAAAAATTTACTTGCTCAAAAAAAAGATGAGGGTCCCCACTATGACCCACATAGCAGGATGTGGCTGCCTGGCACTCTCCCGGCACTCCTTCCACGCCTGCATCCACCTCCCCGGCCGTGACCTGTTGCTATTGTCCAAGTCTGGGTTAAGCTGTGAATCTTCTGATTCTTGTTCTACAATGGCCTGAACAACCTGCTGCAGCGATTTCTCGTCCGTGCTGGTGAGGGACTCTTTTATCACTTGAAATACTGCAGCCTTCAGTTTCTCATATAGAGAGCCCAGCTCCTGTTCAAGTGGGCCCCAATTTATTTGGGCTACCACTTTCATGGAGTTGCGGCGGTCCCAACCCCTCTCGCTTTGCTTGTTTTTTAATAAATGGTTGATTAAATTATATATATAACGGTTTAAATAAAATATTAAAAAAATATATATGTATAGGAAAATTTTACCTCATAATTTAGGTACAGTTCCCTTTTAAGGCTCACCTGCGGGTGTCCTTAAGGCGGGAAAACCACTGCTCGAGGGGCTTCTGGAAGGTTCCAGGGGCTACCTATAAAAGGAAGGTCCGTGAGGAGAAAGGTCACTCGGCTGGACTTCAACACAGCAAGCTCTTCAGTGTTATTGTACCTGAGTGTTGCTGCGTTGGAATCAAGCCATGAAGACCATTGTCCGCCGGGTCCTGGAACGGGCTGAAGCCGCCGGGGGAGAAGACTGGCTGCGGCGCTGCTTGGAGGCAGCTGAAGATATTCAGCACCCTGCCCTCCCGGAACCGATGGAAGACAGCCAGGTCATAGATGTCATCGGTGATGAAGAACGGAGGGTACCTCTCAGATGTCCCCCACGCAGAAGCCGTCCGCCAGAACGTCGCTAGCAAGTGGCGGTATTATCCGAAGACCCGGGACTGACGAATGCGGCCGAACAGCATGAAGATATCGGCCGGAATGAAACAGACTGAGATGTCGTTAGAGGAAGAGGCGGAGCCGGTAAGCGCGTGCGCAGACGCCGGCGGCCATTTTCGCCTTCGCCTGTCAGAGTCACTGGAGGGCAGCGGCAGGAGGCTCATGCTTCCCCTACACAACGAGCGTCTCCTAGGCAACAAGCAGCCCCTAGGCAACGAGCAACCCCTAGGCAACGAGCAACCCCTAGGCAACGAGCAAGTACATTTTATACGCAAGTGCAGCCAGACGGGGAGGTAGTCAGGGAAATGAGAACAGTGACAGGATTGAGATCAGAAGGGGCGGGGGGTTCAGCTGACAGCCGCTTCCCACGTACGGACATTTACTACTCCACAACAACAGCTGAATTACAGGAGGTCACCGCAGGGGGCTTTCCAGCACTGCATCCTTCAACAGCTACAAACCCAATTCAATCACAATCAAATGTTACACAGCCAATTCCAGTGGTTGGTGCAGAAAATACACAACAGCATACATCTGGTGTCACAGGGGGTGAGTTGAATCAACAAACTGTTTTATCTAATTTAATTGCTTCCCTCTCCAGAATTGCTGATAAATTTACGGTTTCTTCACCGGCCGCAATGGTATGGGCTCCAGCTACAGATGAAAATTCAATTAATGTTGTTTCTTCTCCTGTCTCTAATGTTAATTCTACTCCTGTTACGCTTAATGTACCTGAAATTTCATACAGAACTCCTTTAACTTGTGAGATTTCGCCTATCGGTCTTCTTCACTGAAAGAAAACATTATTAAAGGAGTTTATTGACATTTTGTCATTGCTGCCATCAGCAAAGGATTTTATTAAGTTGAAAAAAGACAAGATGGAAGAAGACAGGCGCAGACCAGTAGCACGCACGTTTAATAATTGGTTGCAGGCGTTCTGTATTTTTGGGAGTATTTTAAGTGGTTAATTCCCAGATCAAAGCAGTGGATTATTTCAACATGTTGAAATAATTTTAGAAGCTTATAAAATGTTGGTGTGTTAGTTTGGTTTTTCTATGACAAATATTTTCGTCAGAAGAAAGCTGTTTACGCTTCCTTGCAAAATTCATGTAAATACAAACATGAATGCTCTTTTTGTGCAGGTTCACACCCATTTGCAAGGTGTTTTAAAAAACAGGCTAGCGCTACTATAACACAAAAGGATATTTTTCAAAAAGCCTGCACGGCAGTGAGGCTGGAAAAAATGCTTCCATGGCTACTGCGGTATCCCGATCAGGAGATAGCTCAGCTATTAATTGATGGTTTTGCCTTTGGCTTTAAGATTCCAGTGTTCAAAGGTTCAGGCTGTGAGGTTGTGAATAATTTAAAATCTGTTAACCAACATCCTAATATAGTTAAAGACAAGATTCAAAAAGAAATAGCTGCAGGCAGAGTAGCTGGCCCTTTTTCGGCTCCGCCTTTTAAAAATTTTAGGATCTCCCCATTAGGTTTAGTGCCAAAAAAGGAACCAAATTCTTTTAGGATGATTCATCATTTGTCTTTTCCCAAAGGAGATTCATTAAATGATGAGATAGACCCGGCCACTACGGCCGTTTCGTATGCGTCTTTTGACTCTGCGCTGTCAAAAATAAGACGTTTCGGTAAAGGAGCTTTATTAGCAAAGGCCAACATTAAATCGGCCTTTCGCCTCTTACCTATACATCCTGAAGCTTTTAATTCTTTGGGTTTCTATTTTGAACAAGATTATTTCTTTGATAAGTGCCTTCCCATGGGCTGTTCACTTTCTTGTTTTTATTTTGAGTCTTTTGCTACCTTTTTAGAATGGGTTTTATGTTTTGAATCTGGTCTTGACAATGCAATCCACTATTTGGATGATTTTTTATTCATAGGCCCGGCAAATTCCGCAGTTTGTTCTAAGTTGTTTCATTTGTTTTGTTCTATTAGTGCATATTGCGGAATTCCATTGGCAGAAGAAAAATCTGTTTCCCTACAACGTGTATTACGTTTTTGGGCATTCAGATCGATACGGTTTCCTGTGAGTTATAAGCTACCCTTAGAGAAAATTTAAAAAGCAACTAGGTTAATTTCTGATATGTTGCGCAAAAAGAAAGTGTTGCTGCGAGAGTTACAATCCTTGTTAGGCCTTTTGGCTTTTGCCTCAGTAAGAAGGGTGGTCTGGATTGTTGGACACTCTTACGTATTTTGGGCACACAGGTGTGCTTCGCAACGTGTGTATACAAAGAACTTGAATATGGATTGTTTACAGTTTAGAGTATGTTGGAAAGGTACCAGGGGTATGAGTTGGAAAAATCTTTTTGATACGCTATCCGGTTTGTTCCAAATATGGCCAGCGCCAGATATTCTGATTTTACATTTAGGTGGTAACGATATCATCAAGTTTCACACACTGGATCTACTTTTTCAAATGAAAGCAGATTTGCAGCGTTTACGTAATACATATCCGCAGTTAGTGTTAATATTCTCGGAGATGGTGCCTCGCTTATTTTGGTTGTTATCCCCTTTGGCAAAGCCAGCTGAAAAAATACGTAAACGCATCAATAGGGCGATGGAAAAATGTATGCCGCTCATCGGCGGTTTTTCTTATCGACATAAGGAGCTAGAAGATGGTTCATCAGGTTTGTATCGGCAGGATGGGGTACATCTTTCAGATATTGGTTTGGATATTTTTAATTGGGATTTACAATGTTGCATTGAAATGGCCGTGGCTGGGGGTGGTGCCGGGATTGTTTGAGGGCAATACAGGCGGGTTGGGGACTTTAAGTTTGGTAGATTAATTTGATATTGCTCGAGTTTTATGACTGAGCAATCTACGTTTTGGTTTTAAAGTTATTAACGGTTTCATTATTTCATCTGAGATTTAAACCAATAAAAGTGCCGCGGCCATTTGTTTTCCAAATGAAATTGTTGTTTGTCATATTTGTTTTAGTTAATAAAGGTACCGCATGCAATTCCATGTTCAAGTGGGCCCCAATTTATTTGGGCTACCACTTTCATGGAGTTGCGGTGGTCCCAAACCCTCTCGCTTTGCTTGTTTTTTAATAAATGGTTAATTAAATTATATATATATAACTGTTTAAATAAAATATTTAAAAAATATATATATATATAGGAAAATTTTACCTCATAATTTAGGTACAGTTCCCTTTTAAGGCTCACCTGCGGGTGTCCTTAAGGCGGGAAAACCACTGCTCGAGGGCCTTCTGGAAGGTTCCAGGGGCTACCTATAAAAGGAAGGTCGGTGAGGAGAAAGGTCACTCGGCTGGACTTCAACACAGCAAGCTCCCCCTCCCTTATTTTCATGTCGCTGGCTTTTATGTGGTGGTGTCACCTCAAAAATGAGGGGGACTTTAAGTTTGGTAGATTAATTTGATATTGCTCGAGTTTTATGACTGAGCAATCTACGTTTTGGTTTTAAAGTTATTAACGGTTTGATTATTTAATTTGAGATTTAAACCAATAAAAGTGCCGCGGCCATTTGTTTTCCAAATGAAATTGTTGTTTGTCATATTTATTTTAGTTAATAAAGGTACCGCATGCAATTCCATTCTTCTCTTCCAATGTTGGCTCTTTCGATTCACTGAAAATGTTATGTTCCAACTTGATTAAAGGAGAACTATGGGGGGGGTGATTTCCACTCACCTCATAGTTCTAGCCGACCTGTGACAATGAGACTGTCACAGGTCGGCTCAGTAGATCGGGAGGTGAGCGAACACATACCAGGTTCGCTCACCTCTCGATCCTGTCACGGCTCTCTGCCATGACAGGGGGAGGGGCTAGATTCCCCTCTCCCCGCTCCGATCTGCCAGCGCTGACTGGCGGAACGGACGGGGGAGGGGGCGGGTACAGCTGGCTCTGCCTCTAGATAGGCAGAGCCAGCTGTCACTCACGCAGCTGGGCGGATCCCGTCATCTACGTCGGGATCCGCTCCGGCTGCGGCGTCTCAGTATACCGCAAGCTGTAGCAAATCTAACCTGATTGCTGATGCTCATTCCCAGCAGGATTTTCAGAGGTTTCAGAAATTTTCAGAGGTTACAGGGATTTTGAGAGGTTTCAGGATCTAGCGCCTGCGGCGGACTTGGAGGGTCTCCCTTGCCCGGATTACCTTTTTCAGTTGATTGGCGTTTAATTAATGGTATGGTTCGGTCTTCCGTAGCAGATACTACTTGGAAGGCCTACTCTTTATCTTGGGAAAAGTGGTGTTCCTTTTCTGCAAGTTTTCTTTCCTCCCCTCTAGCTGATTCTCCTGAATTGATACTGTGTTTTCTTTGTGATTTGTTGCAACAGGGTTTTTCTTCTGCTTATTTATACAAATATGTGGCTGGTATTTCTTTCTTTAGACGGTTACACTCTGCTCCTGTTTTTTTATCTTATTTTATCGTTAAACAGTTTCTGAAAGGTGTTAAAAAGGGGCATTTTGTATCGGATTGCCGCCCCCCAGTGTCGTTTGCTATGTTACAAGATTTGCTGTCAGCTACTGACCGGGTTTGCCTTGACTCCTATGAATCCTTACTGTTCAAATTAGCTTTTTCATTGGCGTTTTTTCGGGCTTTTCGGATATCCGAGCTAGTCTCAAAAAATCGTTTTGTTAATTCTGGTCTTTTACATTCTGATGTACATTTATCTGCCTCTGTTGTTTATATTTATTTCAAACGTTCAAAGATGGATCAGGTGGTCAGGGGCAGGTGGTTGTCGTTACATGCTTTACATGATGGTTGCTGTTGTCCTTTATTGCTTGTGTC